GGGGGTTCACGATTTTATATAAAAAACGAAGAGAAATTAAAAATATCAGCATGTGAAGCCTAACCACAATTACTTATAAAGCGATATTTTTAATTTCTCTTCGTTTTTTATATAAAGTCGTGAAACCCCCGCTTTGTTTTTACGCGTACTGTAATCGCGTGGAAGAATTTTGTAATTTTATAAAGCCAAATTCAAATTGCTCACGATTAAAAAATTGAAAATTTTAAATTCCAATATCTTTCTCATTAGACTTCTGACCCGAGTGTTTCAAGTATAAAAACGTTCTGCTATGCGGTCCGCAACTTATCCTGGTATTATTTTAGGCGTAAAAACTAATAAAAAGATTCAGCAGCGCAAAAACATCGACCGATCTTCCCCCCGTCCTCTTTTTTTTCGAGCCTTTAAAGAGCGATTCTAAAAGTAGGCTTATTATAATATACACAATATATACAGAGAGGAAGCGGGTTTTAATAAAATTTTTTTACGCTGTAGACAATTTTACATCTGTTGATCGCGTTTACCGCGCGTCCTCTGCCGCACGCAAGAATTCTTGTAGCTCCGCATATTGTATACGAAATATATACACGGTTTATTTAAAGTTGCAGACAAAATTTTCTAATATTTTCACGTCTATTTCTTTCTCTGACGGAGATTTGTCGCCTCTTTTTTTGCCGAGTGATTTTCGCGAGAAGCGATTGCGCCGCGACTCGACATTCTCGTTCGCGAGGCGGCGTAAAATTATTGCGAACGACTTCGCTGTCGGGGGGGGAGAGAAATTGCATAATTTCAGTTGACAATTCGTTCTTTACGGGGAGAGAAAAGCCGAGGACCGTCGCGAGCCGCGCACAGTCCGGTCCCTCAATGATCCCCCGCGGCTGTGCAAACACATACATACAATTCGCGCGTAGCTGTATGCAAATTTTCATTGATGCCGACACCGTGCGAAGTGGCGGCGGGCGCGCGTGGCGCAGGCGGGGGAGAAGCACTTTTTACGTCACGGCCGCCAGGGGGGGCGCGCGAGAGGGAGTGGGACGGACGGCGGGAGAGACGGAGACGGGGCTCGCCGGTTATTGATTCCGCCGACCTACGCGTACACGGCGACACATGTTGACGTTCCCTGTGCGCGCTCCGAGTTCCGTGCGATGACTTGAGACCGGACGGCGCTCGCCGTCTCTCGCTCTCTCTCTCTCTCTTTCTTCCTCAGCAGTCGCGTCTTCGGGCCGTTCACGCCGGCGGAGCCGTGTTCCTGTCCGCTCGCTCTCTCTTGTCTTCCGCGCGCGCGGAACGATGTGCCGATACGCGTCGTAGGTTAAGGTCCGTCCTGGGGCCAACGTCCGTCGGCTCGCCTTTCTTCTTCTTCCCCCCCCCTCGCCTCTGCCTTCCATCCAGCAGCCGTTGAATGAGACGCCGCATCCGCGGCCGCACGAAGATGGACAACGGAGCGACGGCCGCCGAGTGTCTCACCCTGGATTTCGGCCCGTTCGAGACGGTGCACCGATGGCAGCGCATGCCGGAGTGCGACGAGTTCGTCGGCGCCAGGTAGGCTCCCCCGCCCCACTTGTTCTCGCCCGGCGACTCCCGGAGTCCGGTTTGACCGGAAACGTCACGACTCGCGATTTGTATCCGTTGTGCATTTTATCTCACGTCTCGTGGATTCGAGGACGTGGTCTGTCGACGCAGCCTGACTGACCTCTCACCCCGCCCGCGTTTGCTCTTCTGTCTCGCAGACGCAGCAAGCACACCATCGTGGCGTACAAGGATGCCATTTACGTGTTCGGCGGCGACAACGGCAAGAGGATGCTCAACGACCTGCTGCGCTTCGACGTGAAGGAGAAGTCCTGGGGCAGAGCGTTCGCCACTGGCACCCCGCCCGCGCCCCGCTACCACCACTCGGCGGTGGTGCACGGCTCGTCGATGTTCGTATTCGGCGGCTACACCGGCGACATACACTCCAACTCCAATCTGAGTAATAAGAACGATCTGTTCGAGTATCGCTTCCAGACCGCCCAGTGGATAGAGTGGCGATTCATCGGAGTGCAAGTATCGCTTTGTCACAACCCAGTGAGAAATGATTCGTCGAACGATGTCAAAACGATGTCGAATCGACATCAATACCGTCAAATTGACGTCGATTCGACGTCGATCGATGAATCACTTCTCACTGGGAGGAGCCTCCCCGCACGATTGTCTTGCGGGCGTTTTCCAGCAAGGGACACGCTGACAATGAGACAGAAGGCTGACCCTGAAGTCGCACGGCGCACTGGATTCCCTAAGAGATATTGCCTTGCGCTTTATTCGGCCTAGACGAGTTTGTGCCGAGGAAGACCCGAAGAAGGGTCGAAACGTTTGCTACTAAAGAGAACTTTTGCGTTTAAATCGTGAGAACCGAGTTCCGTTCATTTTGTGGCTCGCACTGGCACTTTCTCCTTTCCACGCATCTTCTTTTTGCGAGCCTTCGCAACACTTTGGCAAGATAACAAGATAAAGTACTGCCCGCGGGGCATTAGTTATCTTATTGTTGCATTCGGCGAAGGACAAAGATGAAATGTGCCACTCGCTGGAGAACGAGCCACTTTACTTTTGCCTCTCGATGCGTTTTATTGAGTCTGTCCAACTGTAATGTATCCGTAGGACCCCGGTGCCAAGGTCTGCCCACAGCGCCGCTGTGTACGATAATAAGCTGTGGATATTCGCGGGCTACGATGGCAACGCCAGGTTGAATGATATGTGGACAATCTCGTTATTGGTGAGAGACGCATATACTTAACGCATTTGTTCGAAATGCGCAGAGCACTTAAGTGCGTGATGCAGCCACGTTGCAGTTTCATTTAAATTTTAATTCGCTCGATATCTGCCGTCAGCCCGGTGACTTCAAGACGTGGGAGGAGGTCGTCCAGGTCGGCGAGCGTCCACCGACGTGTTGCAATTTCCCCGTCACGGTGGCCCGAGAGTCGATGTTCGTTTTCAGCGGCCAGAGCGGGGCCAGAACGACCAACAGTCTCTTCCAGTTTCACTTCAAGGAGAGGCGGTAAATTTCGTCGCGACGCGCGTCACGCCCCAGCGAGAAACGACGAGTCATTTCTGGCTGGGTGTCGGTGCAATCCGCAGGACCTCGGCTCACGTTCCGTCCACCGTAAATTTGTCGTTTCCAGGTGGACGCGCATATCGACGGAACACATATTACGTGGCGCACCGCCGCCGCCCGCGCGGCGATACGGTCACACGATGGTCAGTTTCGATCGCCACCTTTACGTCTTCGGCGGCGCGGCCGACTCCGCCCTGTCCAATGATCTCCACTGCTACGATCTCGACACGCAAACGTGGAACGTTATCCTACCGTCCACCGACAGTCAGGTAGATGACTTGCAAAGATGAATATTCGCATTAGGAAGGGCCGATCATTCGCAACGAATGATAAACCGGAACAGGCGTCTAACCCTTTGGCGAATTTTTAATAGATAGAACAAATTTGCGCTTATCCGTATCCTTCGAACCAAGCTTGATTTATTTGTTTGTTTGGTTCGGTTCCGTTTTAAGGTGCGAGCGTTTTCTCTCACAATAGCGTATTTTTATGAAAGAACGCGACAAGCGATTAATTTTTATACAATGCGTCCACGCGCAGGTACCACCCGGTCGACTTTTCCACGCCGCCGCCGTAATCGGAGACGCGATGTTCATTTTTGGGGGGACCGTGGACAACAATATACGCTCCGCCGAGATGTACCGCTTCCAGTTCTCGTCGTATCCCAAGTGCACGCTGCACGACGATTTCGGGAGGCTGCTGAACACGGCTCTCATCTGCGACGTGGAATTCATAGTGGGCGAGCTGGAGACCAAGATACCGGCGCACATAGCCATGGTGGCGGCGCGCTCGCAGTTTCTCCGGGCGCGCATTCGGCAAGCGCGCGAGAAGCTGGACAAGTACATGGAACAATTGCCCAAGGAGTCCAGTAATAAAGTGCCACCACTGGAGGCAAGTGAATCGGTCTAAGATATTTAGACCGACAGACTACAAGTTTCCCGTCTCAATCTTTAATCTTTACTGGTGACAATAAGCAAACCCTTCTTTCGCTTATAAAAGAAATGTCTTAAGAACCTGCTCCTCGGTGATTTTACAAACGTGGCCGTTACATTGCAGGTGAGATTACAAGACGCCGTGCCGGAGGCTTTCAAAATGGTGCTAAACTACATTTATACTGATCGCATCGATCCTACCAAGAGACCGGACGACAAAGCGGAGGACCCGCAGAGCAATCGCATCGTACTTCTCATGATGGACGTGTATCGTCTCGCCGTGCAGTTCAATATGGAACGCTTGGAACAGCTGTGCGTCAACTACCTCGAGGCGACCATAAGCCACGCCAACGTTTTGGATGCGTTGCGCAACGCCGTGCACCTGAAGCTGTACTTCATAAAAGAGTTTTGTCTCAGCTTCGTCGTCAAGGAGAACAATTACAATCAAATCGTGATGAGCCAGGAGTTCGAGACGCTGGATCAGCCGCTGATGGTGGAGATCATCAGGCGACGACAGATGCCGCAAGTCAGAACTTTCACCAAGTACGAATACGAATCCGTCACCGGTAGGTATCGCGTACACGCGCGACACACCGTGCGCCGTCAATTTGTCTCTCATATCTCACGGAGTCCGTTCGGTAGGGACAAGCCTGGAGCAAGACATGGAAGCGTTCCTGAAGAGCGTCGGTCGGGAATTCTGTGACATCACGTTGCGGCTGAACGGCGTGCCGATACCGGCGCACAAGGCCATCCTCGCAGCGCGGTGCAGCTACTTCGAGGCAATGTTTCGATCCTTCATGCCTGAGAATAATATGGTGAACGTAAGTTCGTGCGATTCATAAGAGAAAAAGCACAACGACGAATCTCTTGCTACGCGAGGAAAGGCCGGGATTCCATTATCTCGTACGTGCAGTGCAAATTGTAAATATAACTTATAGATACAAATTGGCGAGATGATACCGTCGTCGGAATCATTCCACTCTTTGCTGAGGTACATTTATTTCGCGGACGTCTCGATGCCGCCCGAGGATTCTCTGTATCTGTTCACCGCGCCAGTGTTCTACGGTTTCACGAATAATCGGCTCCAGGCGTTTTGCAAGCAGAACCTCGAGATGAACGTCACCTTCGAGAACGTTATACAGATTTTGGAAGCAGCCGATAGAATGCAAGCTACCGACATGAAGAAGTACGCCTTGACTCTGATAGTTCATCACTTTAGCAAGGTAAAGAAACGCTCGATATTAACGAATGGTTAATATTCATGCGGGCACGTGCGCAGTGTATTCGCTTTTCCTCAGGTCTCCAGACTCCCAAGATTAAGGCAATTGGCCCGCGAGCTCTTGCTGGATATTCTCGATGCTCTGGCTGACGAACGCAGCGAGGCCAGAACGTGTCAAGATATGACCGATTGCTGACGGATTTATACCTCAGGTCGTCGTCCGGGCAGGCGGAATTTATCGTCGCCGTGCAGTTTCAAGGTGAGTACGATTGTTTAGAAAAAAAAATTACTGCTTTCAGCATCACTACGTTTTATGAGTTATGAATGATACGCAGTGCTGAGAATTATGTCTGCGATGATATCCCAGAGTTGTCTCGTTCTAGGAACTGTGCCGGATGAATTTCATCCTAATAGGACGAACGGTTCTGTATGTTGGCAACTGCTATCTTGATCGCGCGGCTATATCCAGCCTGACATCGGACACGACGCCGACTCTACGGCCGTTATCAGCGGCCGCGTCGTTCGCATCGGTTCCAGACTTGCCGTCGGCGTGCAGCTCCGCTCGCCCGGTCGTGTCGCCTCGTAATCACGACCTGAGGCAACACCAACGGTCTCATATCCATCGTTGTTACGTCAGTTGCAACGTGTTGAGACGCACTGCCGTCGCTCTTTCGGATCTTCGACGAAGAAAGCTGTTCCCATAATCGGAATTATGTTAACAGCAAACATGAAACGGCGACGACTTTCGTCGAGCTGCGTCGTAGAGGTGTTCGTTGCACACTATTAGTGCATGATATGATGTAAAACCGTGGGAAAGTCGATGCATAATATTACTGTAGTAATTGTGTCCGTTCATGTAACGGAATATTAGGTACAATCTATACCTAGGAGTACACGCGCCAAGGTATCATTTTCCATAGATAGATACTTTGATGTCACTTCCGATAATGGCATAATACGTTATTGCGTATATCGTAACTAGCGATTGTTATACTGATTTTGTGATTTTTTTAAATATATAGGGCGTTAGAATTTGGGTATAACAACAGAAAATGGTATTTCGGCAGAAAACCAAGTAACAAGAATGCATGCGACTTTTTAAATTCGAGCCGTTGTTTTTTTTTATTTTAGTATAAAGGCCTAAAGTTTGGTCGACTGTGTGATTGCAGAATCTGTAATCTCTGTGCTTTTTGTTGCTTCTGCTTTTATACCCGAGTTTTGTGATATATTATAGCATTTGGTTACAATACCCCAATGAGATGCCACACCTCTTTATCAACAAGCTTGTTGCATTTTCATGGGTTGTTAATCGATCTCAATCGGCCTGTCTTCAATTTGGAGAAAATTGGAAAATATTGACGCTATTAACCGCTCGATCGTTCGATACAAGCACTTGTGACGCTCAGTCCATAAGGCACTATTAATTTGACAATTTATAGTCGTTCCGATATTTTACGAAACGCAGCAAATTTCTTAAGCGATATAAATTCTCGTTACAGGACAGTCTTCGTCTCATTGTGGTGGCCATGATAAGCTTGTATGTTTCCATGTTTCTATTATATACGTTGAAGAGTCTGTAAAATATGCATGAAATGTCTATTTGTGTTAAAGAAAAACAACGTTGTTATGACATATTTACATGTATTCGCGTTCGTCGTCGTTCCGTCGTCCTCTTAATCGTTGATCTTTTTGTAATTATATATGAGACAAGAATATTTTTATGAGCTTTAAGTATTATACAAGTAGTACTATACAGATAATTTTTATTTTATGCAGATGAGAGATTGGAGTGATTGGTAAAGGTGAATATTGTGCGGATGTATTGTTGAAGATGACATATTTTCCAGACGTTTCAAAGTTGTTGATATAAGAGATATTTATAACTAATGTGCGAGTATAGAGAAAAATTAAGTTGATCTAGACTACCAATCGGTGTGAGTCAAATTAAAAATTGCAAACGGCGCCTATATTTTCATCGAATGTAAGATAATAAATTAAATTATACGTGCAAAAGGAAAAGAGTCTGTAATTTATTCGGCGTATCGCCGCTGTTGACCTCGTCGATAATTGCGGTTTAAAATTTGCGAAACTGAAATTGCAGGAGAACATCGCAGCGTTGGCGGTGCACGATAACACGAGTGCCGTTTAAGATAAGAGGTTCGCGAATTGTTGAGTGGGTGGGTAACATTGATGACCGCGCTTAGTTAATAAATTATGCATTATATTTTAATCTCGAATATAATTGTACATACATGCGATTCGTATTCTCGTGGAAGTAATTAATCTTTCAAGTTTACAAGAGCAAACAATACGAATCGAGGGAACGAGAGGAACCGAACAGCAGGAGCTCGTATATAAAATCACATCGCTTTCTCTCTCTCTCTCTCTCTCTCTCTCTCTCTCTCTCTCTCTCTCTCTCTCTCTCTCTGTATCTCTTCCTTTTTCTCTATCTTTCTCTTCTATGTAATATTATCTCTAGGTAGGTGGCATTTTTATTGTACCTAATATTATCACTAGGCAGGTAGTACTTATTTACTCTGACCATGCACACATTCGATTTGACGACATTTCGTTCGAAGAGCGATCGAAGCGAAAGAATCGGATCCAATTTCCTCATCCTGGAGCGAGATGCCGTCAAATCGAGTCTGTACTTGGAAGTAAACATCCCTCTCTTGCGTTCCTCTCTTTTCGCTCTTTGTCTATCTGTTCGCCAAAGAAACAGCGTTCCGCCAGGAAACGTAGATTAACATCTATGGCTCGTTTCTCTTCACGATCTCCGACCACACACGTTGACGACACACAATACTTCGACACAATTATTCTTTTCTCTCAGAAGTAACGAGATAGCTGAACGGAAGGTAAAACGAGTTCAAGTAAAGGGAGATACACCGGTCTTAATAGAAAGGACGAAGTCAACTGTTATTTCTATTTCGATATTGAAACGCAATTGGTTGTTGTAAATTGTTCTTGTTCTAAAATGGCGGTTTTTTTTTCGATATGCAATCTCTTCGCAAGACACTCCATATTGTGTTTTAGCTTTCTTACATTTATTTTACACCCCGTAGCAATAAATTCCGTTCAGTCATCCGCTACGTCTATAATCTTTCTTTTGGGTAAAATCTCTAGAGGTTTATTACTTCCCACCTATTAAATCATTAAGTTCTAACATTCATCAAGGCCGCCACGCAAGCCAATGTGCCAATTATGCACCGCACAAGGACGCCGTCCAAACCGGAAGAGTGGGGAACGTTAGAGAAGAGAAAAGCCCTAAAACAATTGAAAATATGTCGAAGAAAATTAAACAATACATTTCGTTCCGGTCCTCGATTAAAAAATCTGCTATAATTACAACATCTAAAATGCTACGTGACATTAAATGAATCGTTATTTTGCTATTCACTAATTTCAGAGAGCTGTGCGCGGCGCAAGAAAGAAAGAGCGCAACGGCCCATTTTTCATTTCTTACAATCTTCACTGCATACGTTGACGTTAACACAGTTATCGAATTCTTTCTTATGGAAATAACTGAAATGACTGAAAAGTGAAATGAGTTTTTCGCCAACAGATCGACGAATTAGCTATTTCCATTTCGATGTCTGAATTGCGCGATGTCGATCGCACCGAACGTCAAACAGAAGCTTTTCTTTAGGATGAACGCAGCGACTTAAAATCCAGCAATTTGAAACATTTCGGTGTCTTCCTACGCTTTTATTCCTCATTAACGCACTATGTTTGGACAAGGCAATTGTACTCAAGATCTATTCCTTTTTTTTTGGTCGTTGGGTAGGCATTGTGCCCGACATTGAGAGAAGGGGAGGAAAGACGCCAACTTGTACTCTTGCACACTCCTGGTTTCCGAGCTCGAAATCAATTTTCAATTCTTCGAATCTTCAAACATCTGTGTGTTCTATCGTAAGGCGTCTAAATGAATTCTTTTACAAAGGCGTCTCATACGCTAGCTGCGGCCCTACATTCACTATGTAAACCTTAATGTAATTACTCTAAGTAGGCCTTTCTGTTCGTCGCTTAAAAGTCCAAGTCGAAATCTGCGCTTAATATTGCACGCGGCTGTCCAGTGCCACGTTGCGATATTAATCGTAGACAGCTCGGACTCGGTTCAATTATTACAAAGAGACATCTACGAGTTACAAGGAAATAACGAGATAAAAGTAGCGATACGGTCGTGGTACAAACTTCACACGTTGATTTCGAATGGCCCCAATCTGAAAATGCAGAAACAACGATGGACATTTTCGTTCATATCATTTTGTGACACGACGCGACGTACCGATGACGCCTTACCGATTGTAATGTATTGTTTGACTCGCTTTGTAGGATTCCAAAGAGTGCGAGACAATCAATCCTCGAAGATCAATGCTCCTCGAATTTTCTGTGTGAAAGCGGGTGCTGCACTCACACATAGAGAGAAGAATGCACATCTCGTTGAGCATTACATATCACGTACATCCACGTCGAGCATTACATTTCACGTCGAGCGTTATATATCACGTCGAGCCTTTACATATCACGTACATCCATGTCGACGGTGTGGTCCATACCAAACGTTCGGGAAGTTCTTCTTTCAGGTCAATTCGCAGGTCATTTCTACGAGTAATAACAGCGACTAGTTAGTGACGAACGTTAAAAAATATATATATTTAAACGCATATGAAAGAATTGAAATCAATATATTTGATGTGTCTTCGTTCCGCATTTTTACGTGATAATGGCAGTTCATCAATCTCAGATTCGTTAATCTACGTTTTTTGACCGGCCCGATACCAGGCCAATTTCACTTTGCGAATCTAATTCTAAGCACAAACTGTTGTACAAAAATGTCCTGGGCTCTCGACTGAAGGTGCGAGCTGACGGAGAATTAATAATCGTATACCTTTTCCTCGACGATACTGCTCGTCGACGGTACTCTCTGCGGGGGATCCAGCCGTCTCCGTCTCTCCTCGATCACCTCGGTGTCCGAATTGGCCACGGTCATCTGTGCCGGTTGCTGCGTCAGAGACGCGTTCACGTGTCTCGTCTTCATCAAAGGTGGATTCCGAGATTGGGGTAACGCGAACCCCCGTCTGAGAGCACCTCGCGGCGGCGACGGCGGTGGGTAGGATATACCTGGTGGCATATCGCCGATACGTGAGCACTCGCTTAAAAACATCTTTCTTGTTTGCGGATAAATGCTTTGTAGACTCCGTAAAAATGAGATAAATTAGAGTTGAAGTTAATAGGACGAATACTCGGAGAGAATTCTCTCATGCTTTCTCTCGTCAAGAAAAAACAAAAAACAAAAACAGGATTTTCACTAAAGTTTGTTCGAAGCTTTCGAGCGCGATCTTTGCATTTAAAACAGCTCCGTCAAGCTGTCGCGTGTGGAAATATTTTACGTCCAATAAAATCAAATAACGTACTAAGCTACGTTACAACCTTGATGTTACATTTCTCTCGTGCCTGCGCCCTGGATGGACAATTCCGCTATCTCTAATAAGCAAACGACATTAAAATGGTTTCGAAGTGGAGGAGCGCTCGGCGATCCCCACTTGTGATAGTAATTTACACGTTATGATCTAATCTGCGTGCATCTACGTGCGTGACTACGTCGCGTGAGAGAGGGCCGTCATCGAAAAGGCCTCGGCCTCGGAAGAACGTGACAAACGTAGGCGGCGGGTTCTGCGTCGGTAATTGCTACCTCGGTGTCCAGGCGAGAGCAGAGTGTCCTTGCTCTTGGTCATCTGCGGCACGATCAGCAACGAGTTCGGCGGCGTCGGCGACACGGTGGAGGTCTGCGGCGAAGTGGCCAGCGTCAGATTAGGCAGCGACTGACCCAGAGTCGAGTACGGCACTTGGACGCTCAGCGTGTTCGGCGTCGGCGATTTACTCATTAGCGAGCGCCTGGTGGATTCACGGATTAGCTTTAGCAGGGATTTAATATTCGTCGGTCACCGTGGGGTCGCGAAATCGATTCACTCACTCTCACCTCACGTGCATAGATCGATGATTGTGCCCGGAGCTGGACTCGCCGCCCTCCTCTGACGACAGCGAGCTCGACGCTCGCGGTTGCTCGTTCGTTTCCACGCTGACATTTCTACTGGGGTTGTAGCTCGGGAGGAAGCTGCTGCTGCCTGGAGACGCACCTTCCATCTCCATGCTACCGCTGGAGATGAGAGTCTCGTTACGTACAGTCGCACGGACGATAAATTGTCTTCGATTTCAACGTATACATATTCTTTTTCCCTCGTTGACGAACGTACCTGTGGCTGTGAGCGAGACTGCTGACGTGCGAGGCTCTGCTACTGCCGCGCGGAGTTCTTGGGAAGGCGTTATCGTATTCCTCCACCTCGAACTCGCCGTCGCCCAACGTGCTCGGTTGCCTGCTGACCGACGCCAGATTCATCACGGGTTCCCCGAGCGACGGGACCTTCATCGATAAGTATTGCTGCTGGGCCTGTTTCAAGGATTCCATCCACGACTGGAAGAAGCGGTGCCGTTAGCTCGAGACGAAATTTTCGCTCCAACAAGCGTGAAGATTCGAGGGTCTTTTATCGCATTAAGGCCTGTTAAATCGAGGCCCGTCAGGTTTCACCGACATCGGCCAATTATGGTGTCACTTTTGTCAATTAAACTACGCTCCACCGCAACTTAATTGTTCCTGTGACACATCGCGTGTATGATCTGAAGGACGGACAGGTGGAGAAACGGATTTGACATTAATTAAGCGACTGATGAAAGCCAGTATCGTTAGCGGGGATACAGAACGGAATCTAAATCAGGGATGGCGAATCAGTCGTCCCGCGAAACTCCGTCGTACTTCGCGGTGGCTGTTTGTCGAGTTACCTTGGCTAGTTTCGGGTCACCGGCGCTAAGGATTAAAGCGGCCGAGACTGTTCCGTACTCGTTAAGATAAACCAATCCCAGACTGGACGGCTCCTTGACCTCGTGTATCCGTATGCGATCGACGACGTACGGCTGCCTAATGATCTTTAACATTTTCTTCGTCGACGGTTTGCAGATCAGCAGCATGTCGGTCAACAGTAGTACGTGCACCTCCATCTAAAAGGAGATAATTAGCGAGCGGTATCTAGCTCCCTACATCTGCGTCTCGGCGTTTTTCTTAGTTGGTAGATCCGACCGACTCTCCACTTGTTGTTTACACAAAGAAATGAAGAATCGGCAAAACTTACAGGAACCGCTTCGCAAACAATTTGCTTTTGTTTCAAAGATAATTATTGCAAAGTCGCGCATATTCTTCCTTCGAGCGTACGTTTCCTGAACGCGACATAAAAGCAATTTCCGATCGAGTAAATAAGTTAACATTATCGATCTACCTTGCTGGTGGCGGCGTCTCTTAACTTCAAGTCTCCCTCTCGAAGAAGGGTCCTCGGACTATCCTTGGGGCAGCCGGGCATCGGCGCTGTAGTAATATCAAGATTGCTGTACAACCTTATCAGCTTCTCCACTTCCTCGTCGAGCCCTTTGGTTTCCACGACGTCGTAGCACTCGAGACGCGAGGCCGCGTGGACCAGTTGAGCAGCCTCCTCGTTCCTCCTCAGCGCCGCGTTCACGGACGCCACGAAACCGTCCACGGACTTGATCTGGACGCAAAACGAACCCGATCGAACGTAAACAACCGCCCTTGCGCTTCTCCTCGCGCGTCTTCTCTTCCTCCCTCTCTATTTCTATTTGCAAAGAATTTTCAAGCGAGAGAGCGAGCCGAGCTCGTAATTTACGAGATGTATTTTAGCTTACGCCTACGGAGAAGCTGGGCGCATCGCAAGTGCACTGACGTAGGAATTGGGGGAAAAAGCGCAACTTTTACCATGTGTATCAATTCCGCGCGTTGATCCTCGTTCTCCGTGTTCTTGTAGACGGCTTTGAGCAGGAGAGAATACCTGGTAAGCCTCTGCATCGGCATCACTAGTATGTCCATAAGTTTCAATCGGTTGCAGTCCTTTTGCGTCTCGCACCACTGTAATGACGAGATATCAGCTACTCTTGGTCTCTAATATACTTTGCCATCTCTCTATTTTTTTCTGCCGAGCTCTTTTTACGTCTCTTATGAAAATGACGGTTCGTTAAAGATATTAGTAAGCTAATATCTTGTCATATTGATCGGCGAACTTTGAAGAACCTCAGCTGCAGAGGTCTTTTTATTTAAACGAACTCAAAAATTGCCCGTTTCTTGTCTCCTTGGGCTGGCATTACATTTGTCGTACGACAAAGTTTTCAAGCACGTTGATTGGCTGCGGATAAGAAAATTTCTGGAGACCCCAGAACTTTTCTCTCCCGCGGCCAATCAACGCGCTTGAAAATTTTGTCGTACGACAATACAAATGTAACATCAGCCTTAGGTGAGAAAGGCTGGTTTATGCAAGGCCGTAACCAATTACAGTCAATTATTCTCTTCACTTTTAACGGCGACTGGACAATTTTTACCGATCCCGGCATAAGTTAACAGTTACCTTGCATAAACCAGCCTAATTAAAATCGCGAGCTGCACGATGGCTAATTCCAGGATGAATTAACCGAGATCAGTAATAAGATCAGTAGCTGACTTTGCGAGAGCAAATCAACGGAAGCAAGAGCGATTAACGGGGAGTGTACATACCACCAAGTACGCCGTGAAAAGCTGATTATCGTTCAGCCGATCCTTGCAATACTGCTGACATTTGCTCTGCTCGGCGCAGTATCTCGTATAAGGCGCGAACGTCTGCTCGAAAGTTTCGAAGCCCAGCAGAAGGTGGCCGGGATCGAGCGGCTGCCCGCTCGCTCTCGACGCGTTCACCATCGTGAGCAGATACTCGGCCCAGAAGTAGCGATTGGCGGCGTAGATATCGGGTATATTGCTGAAGAGCCTCAGCCTGTCGACCTCGATCAGGATGTTCGAGGCCTGCAGGCTGCAGAGACATGCCATGAAGAGCTGCGATATCAGAGACGGCGATCGTCACTTTCGGCGAAAGAGATCGAGAATTCTAATCTCCCGACGAGACCTCATCCACGCGAGTTACGTTACAAGACATTTCGCGCATCGAGCGGTTTTATCAGCTCAATCGTCTCGATCGGATTAATCGGCCTGACGAGTCTGGTCTCGGCGAAAGAAAAAAAAAACAGAAAACGTGGCAAGTACGTCGACGCTTCAACTTACATCGGTCACAACCTTTAATGTCTTGATGTAGGCCATTTCGGTCTCAGCCAGTTCCCAGAGTGCGGTTTGCTGCTGCGATTGCTTCTCCGAGAGCATCTGTGAATTCTCGACGATATCGCGCCAGTCGTTCTCTAAATTGTAGAGAGCTGAAAGAGTACGTTCCTTTTATTCTATAGAGATAATATGAAAAGAAAGAGTTCCCCCCCCCCCCCGAGGACGGAAAAAAAGGATCCTTTAAATCGCACTTTTCCGCGGAGAATCACGCGCCGAGCTATTTTACTGAAGATAAGAAACACCATCGATTTTCAATTTGCGACGCTAAGCGTTAAAATTTCTATTATAAAACTGTGATCAGCCACCCCGTTCGGGGATACTCCGGAATTAATCTCGCCCCAACTCAAATAAGCGCATTTTCGCACTCGAGGCCGGGAAATGGGAGAAGCAAGACGCGAGAAGTAACGCGACTGCTCCAAGAGCGGCTGTTAAAGAGATGCGCAAACTTCGCCGATTTCGTCTGCATGTAACGAGCTGGAGGCGGAAAGGAGAGTTTAAACGTTCTTCCGCGGGATAAGGATGTTTTTCCAAGGAAGGGCGCGCCCGCGTTAATTTTATCCCGGATCATCGGGAATCACCAGCACCTCGAGTCCTCGCGTTTCACGGGACGCTCGATGGGAGGGGATCCTGCCGGAAGTAATTCTACAAAATTCTACAAAACTCGAGAAAATATAACGACCAGAGTCTAAGAAATTCTACGTAAATTTAACAAAGCTTTATAAAAATCAACATGAAATCGCTAGAATCGGAACACTTTTGTTAATTTTTGTAATATTCTACAAGTAAGCGGACATTTTGATTCTTCAAATTTTTAAAAAACCAGTAAAGTTCTGTACTAATTTTTACAAAACTGTACATTTTCATGAAACACCACTTGCGATAATTTCTTGATTTGAGAACATTGTAATGTGCTAATTCGTAGATATTTTTACAAAAAATAAATGTTTCAACGAAGATATAAAAGTTTCGACAAATTTTTATTTCACGTCATTTTTTGTAGTTATTTGTAGAATTTTTGTCCGCCAGAGGAGAGAGAGGAGGAAAATCGAGGTGCAGAGAACCGGGGATCGTACCTTCTTCGTTGATCGTTACATCGCACTGTAAATGAACGTTCGTTAATTTCGGCACGCCATGCTTGTTGTACTCGTCCAGTTGGGCGGTCAATAGATCCATCTTGATACCCTTGGTATTAGTGAAGAACCCGCTCCACCGCTGTTTACTGGCTTTGAGTCCTGTGGCTCCTGCGGAACTCCGGCCGGAAGAGAGCGTTGTGCCAGCGCCAATTTCAGAGTCCGCGTTCGTGTCTTCGGTGGAAACGCTGAAGAAACGACCGCTTCGACTCCGATAATTCTAGCGGGGAAATAAAGCTCGTCTTCAACTAGTAGTTTAGAACCGAGGGATCCGACGCGGTGCGGAAAAGAAGCGCGTCGGAGGAAGTTTATTCCTCTTCGCTACGTTCACGTTAGACCTGTTTTCTATCGCTGTACTGGCGAACTAGCGCGGTAAGCTAGAATGAGAGAACACATACTTGTTTTACTCGAATTTATTGCACTAGTTTTGCTGGTATACTAGTCCTACTTTATTCAACAATATAAAGTAGGTAAGCGAGAATCATTGCGAGCGTGGGTCTAGATAGCTCAGTTGGAAGAGCATTCGCCCGGCGAGCGAAAGGTCCCAGGTTCGAATCCTGGTCTAGTCCTAAGTGGCGCGCTTAGTGCCCACCGCCCCGAAGATACACCCCTATTTATTACCACGGACCGTTCACCAGCGCAGCAATAGAAAACAAGCCTCTTTTCACACACGATGTTATCTAATACCCCGAATACTGCCATTGCACTAGTGCTGCTAGTATACCATTCCTACTTTATTTAGTAAGATAAAGCAGGGGAGCAAGAAGAATTTCGAGCGTGGGCCTGGACAGCTCAGTTGGAAGAGCTATTCGCCCGGCGAGCGGAAGGTCCCAGGCTCGAATTCAGGCCTAGTCCTAAGTGGCGCGATTAGTGCCCACCTCCCCGAAAGATACACCCCTATTAATTACTATGAACCAGTCACCAGCAATAGAAAACAAGCCTCTTGTCGCACACGGTGTTAATCTAATAATACACTGAACACCGCCATTGTCGTCGAACATTCGGCGGTAAAATGTCCTGTCCGCGAAACGATCGGGACAAATTATTGAGACCTCCAACGGAAACTGGCGTCCGCTTCGTCAAGTGATTATGCCGCGGTCGTACATCAAGGCTGAAGGCTTCTCGGAGCGAAGGCAACATTCTAGAAATTGCTCGTTCAGTTATCGCGCTGTGTAATCCTCTATCGAGTGTGTGATGTGTTGGTAGCCGCCATGAATAATGTATCGCGCCCCAACACCGGGCGCGACCCGTTAAGAGAAACCCGTCTCGGGTTTTATTAACGCTATCCCTTCGCCGTCCAGCGTCACCGCCAACGTCGCGACAAATCGCTCTCGTTACGCTTGCATGCATTACACGCGTTACACGCGGGGAAAACGCGACATATTCTGCCGCACGCGTTACTCCTCGACGCGACGCGCCAATCAATTTCACACTTAGCATCTTAATTCCCTTTTCCTCCTCGCAAAAAAAAACACTCCGTGCGAGGAGCTGTACTCTTGATAGAACAATTATTCAATTTATTGTATCAGTTTTATCATCCAGTTCTGAGACTGGACATTTTTCTTTTAATAAAGACTCGAGTTCGCAAGTCGACGAAGAATCTACTGGATATCATATTGAAATCAACTTGAGATTATGTGCAAATCAATAATCAAGTTGATATTTACAAGATTTTGAAGTGTGTTTCCTAATTTTAATAAAGTGGCCAGTTAGGTCAAATCAATTCTCCATCCTGGTTTACAAGATTTTATTGCGATATCTGGAAAATATTCCGTCCACGATCTAGTCATATTTTAATAGACATCATATTGAAGGCGAATCAACGTCTTCATCTATCGATTTGACTTGAATATGATATCTAGAGACCAACTAAATCATCAATAACTGGTCGACACCGACACGATATCTTCTATACATAAAATTGATATGTACACTGACAAAAAAATTAATTTAAACCCAAGTAAATAGATTTACTTAAAATTAATTTTTTTACTGAAGTAAATATTTATTCCATTTAAATAACAATATCAAATTTCCAAGTAAATCTATGTGTTGTATTAAGTAAATTAATTTAAATCATTACATTTTCTACATTCAAATAAAGATTTCATGAGACATAGAATACTGTTTATTAAACGAAATAATTGTTTTTGTTAAATAAGAAATCCAATTTTCTTTGCTGTGAAAATTACATCTTAGTAAACATTTTATAGAAAATTAAATTAAAATTTTTTAAATTTAAAATTATCTATTCTTTGATATTTAATAAATACTTAAATTAAAACAATACACGTTTTAATTTTCTTGAGTAAAGTAATATTTTTTTTATTAAGATATTTTTTTATCAGTACACATCTAATAGACGTCGACTATACATCAATAAGATATCGGCAAAGTATCGTGCGGATCTTCTTGCGAAATCAATGAAGAATCTAGTCGTCATCAAATCAAACGGTCCGAGAAATCACGATCGATACCGACTTGATCATCGACTTGTGAACCTGGGGAGCGATCACAAAGCAACTGGCACTTTCGCACTACCTTTTTTTTTTACTTCTAAATGCCAAACGATCAGCGTACAACTTGAATCGTTTTATAATAAATCAATGACAAGCGAGATGACGTTGCAAACTATTAAATTCGCTGCACGATAAAAGTCTCTCTCTCTCCACCCGGCGTAAATGCGACACGATGTGTATTACGCGTTAATGTAGCGTAATCGACGCTTCGCCTGCTCGTTTCACGTGACGCGAAACGCGGGCAGATTTCATCTACGGGGGTGCACCGTAATAACGGCGATAACGGACCTTTATTGCAGTCTACCGTGTCTTTAATGTGTGCGCCGTTCGTCACACCGAAAATACAGCGGCAATCTGTAAACCGATCGGCGTCGAGCTGCATGAGCCGCGGAAAAGACTGAAATTTTTGAGCGCGGAACAAACACTAGGTAAAATTAACGAAACGCGCAAAGCGTGTTACAGAGACGCCCCTCTTTCTCATTGCTCTAAGAGATGCTACGGAAGTTACTTTCATTAAAATTCAATTAAATTTAAACTCACCCACACACATACGAGCGTGATTTGATTTAAGAGAAGCGCAATTACGGCAAAATCTAAATTCGTTCCAGGGTATGGAAGTAACGCCGTTGTCGTTGCTTTTTTCTTTCGTAACTGTAACGGTAACGTACACCCACAGAAAAAATGTCCGGATCCAATGCTATCACACTTCAATGTGTCATAAAATAGGATCGATACAGCGCCAATCATATTTATTATAAAGAAAGGAGTTTAGACTAAGGCGTAGAACCAGTTGAATGTAGAGATTGTAACCCTAAGGAGACTCCAATAAATTCTAGATTAAATCTAGAATAAAATGATAGTAAGTATCGTCTTTTGTCGAATATCGCGGTGCCAACTTCGTGCGTTGTAAGATGGGGGAAAATTTATTTTAAACGCAAGAATATGTAAAGTTACTCTCGTCTCAATATAGTAGGTCAATCTTTTTTAATTCGACAGAGGAGAATAAGAATTACCGATTTTATTCTGATATTGTCTTATTTTTATACTAAATGAGGTTGTGAGAAATATAAATGCGTCCAGAATATTTTTTGTTTCGTTAACAGAAATCCTTTCCGAGGGTGAAGTTACAGTTTTTTAATAACTTAATCTTCAGGCGCCGATCGATATTCGTAATATATTGTTATCATGGATTGTTATGTTTAAGATGAGTTTAAAATTATTGCGTTAAAAATTTGAACAAAAGATTGAGAGTACAATAAAAAACTTTAGTTAATTCATACTTTTTTATAGAAATCAAAAGTTTTTATTTACATCTTTCGAGCGTTTTAAAATTTCTCTCCTTAAATTTTTCACGGTTTCACGACTTTAAAATAAACAATCGTTTTTTCAATATCTTTGTTAGTAAAAAAACTATTACAAAAGTGGATGTTTTAGTTTGTCTGACCTCGTTTCAGAATTAAAAAGGTAACAAAAAAGTGACGTTATTTTTTAAGTAACGGTAACGATAACGAGTCACTTTTGAAAATCAGTAGCCATAACGGTAACAAATAAATGTAACTAAGTTACTTAAAAGTTACTTAAAAAATAATTTTTTATCTCCTGAATTCGATCGCGTGTGGCGGAAAACGCGTCGAGAAACGGACGGCCGGAGATGCGTCGGGTCAAACGCGTGTTTGTTCTACCGTCTTCAGCCCTCGTCGAGATTGAAATTCATCGGCTTTATTTGCCCCCGGATCGCGCGACGCTGTATTGGCGCGAGCACGCGACAGATTACGTTGCTGACCGAGCGGATTAATCCGGCAGCATCCGGCACGGATGAGGTATGGCCTATGTCACGTTGCAGTTGCGCGAATCAAGCCGGAACGCTCGTAATTGTCGCTCGGACAATAGCGGGGCGTTCGGCGAAGACAATGGTAAACCGCGGCGCTAGGAATTCGCAGCCGGGACAATAATGCCGGGACACAATTTCGAATATGCAATACGGGAAAATTTTAATCGAAAAATTAGTGTTGCACGGTACATCCATTAGAAACTCACACTGTGGATCGTGTGTACGTGAATAAAGGAGAACGCTCGGTCGCGTATACTCTGGGGGGAAAAAAAGACAGTTAGCGACCCATTTTGGGGCCCACAATTAGCAATCGAATCATTTCGATTGTTCGTATCTCTAATCTTTTATGAATTTGACCCCGCGTAACCAGTGTTTTCTGTAATCTAGATGGAATTATCTAGATGATCATCTAGATAAGACTGTTTCCTTATCTCATCTTTATCTAGATAAGAATGAAACGTATTATCTACGTATTTATCTTAGATTTAAAAATACGTTATCTGTCTGAAATTATCTAAGATAATGGTTTCATTCAGCAGAACTCAGTATTTCGTGGCTAGGTTTAACCCATTATTTATCATTGGTAAATAATTTCATTTCCTAGTTTATCCGAAATTCATACAAACAATTATCATTTCCATGTACAACATTATTAGTATTTGAAGAAATTAATATTTCAAATTTATTGGTTTCAATATCTGAATCTGATTCACACTATTCCATACTGTTCAAATCTTTATTTGCTTCTAACGTGAGTTTTTTTTTATCACAATTTTTATATGTGATGCTAAAGCATCTAAATGATTTAGCATTAAAATTTGTAGCATTATCTGTTAGAATATTTGTAATTTTTGATATGTAAATTAAATTTTCTCAATACATTGTGCACAACTATTGCAATATTTTTATAAATGTAATTGTACATTATTCTTTTACAAGCCAATTAAATATAATCCTGCTTTTTTAATAGATTTATAAATATAATTGTTTTTATTTTTTTCTTTAATTACTTTTTAAAGCAGTTATCTTGAAATCATCTAGATAAAATGCTTATAATTTCATCTATTATCTAAATAAACTAGAAATAAATAATCTATATCTTATCTAAGATAAAATTTTATATGTCTTATCTTATCTTTATCTAGATGATTTCAACTTTATCTACGTAAAACACTGCGCGTAACTAAAAATCGCAATTAACTATTCTATCTATGTATATCCAAGATTTTTAAGTAACACTAATCAATTCTCTTAATTAGTTCTGTCGATATTCAGTAACGCAAAGAGAATTTTCACTAACCGAAATGTTAAGTTGCTTAACTGCAGAAAAAAAACGGTCAAAATTTTTCCCAGAGTAGACGAACAATCGAAATAATTCGATTACTAATTGCGGGCCCCAAAATGGGTTGCTAATTGTCTTTTTTTCCCCCCAGAGTACGTATTCGCGTGTGGCGCTGCTTTTAAATCGGAATATGGATAATATAAATAATTACATTTAAATTATAATTGCCTTTACATCCATTAAATTTGATGTATTTTCGCAAAACTTCTCACCGCCATCAGGAAAATTTCCCGGGGGAAAGTCTCTTTCGACAGCGTTAAACCGATGATGCGCCGTCGCGCCTCGCATCGTGGCTTTGTTTACGGCGAATCGTTTTGCGATTTGTCTTTGTCAGCCCGACCGTATTGTTGCTCCCCTCGCCGGGTCAAGGCTCGCGAGACTACAGCAGGCATTATTGTTCGCGAAATGCTAAAACGCTCGGCCTCATCTCGCGCGAAAGAGCCGCCGAGAGAAAGCGTCTGGCGGAGATACAAAGGTTCTCGCACTTGAATGATGATGACACGTCGAGGTTGATACCACGTCGATACCTTTCGCGAAGCGTAACGTCGTCTTTCCGCGCTAATGCGACACGGCAATATCCGCAGCAGCGGTCCGCGGCTTAAATTCTTCTTTAATCCCGGGAGACTCCGTCGCGACGTAGTCGAGTTAAATTAAAAATTTATTTCTGGGGTCGCTCTATTTAATTTAATTTTGTTGCCGTAAAGTTCAATTTGGAGTATTACTTGGGCGAAAGTAGAGCTACTTACCCCACTGGCTTTCCGTAACAGCACGTTTTGATTTCCTCTTTGGCTGGGCGTTCGAGAATTCAATCTTTCGTCCTTAACTGAAACGAGAAAGCGAGAGTTGCGGTTATTACGAATCCCTGTACGTATACCTGGTGTTCTCAATCGGGACGGGCACGCATCCACTCACAGTTACATCCTGATAGTTTCTACGCAGCGCAATTTTTAATAATAATTTCTCGCCGTGAATTGGCGCTGAAAATTCACAACGCACCGGCGGCACTTTGCGATAATTTCGCGATTGAAGAAAAACTTAAATTCAGCATAAAATCGTTCTCTGCAAATCGTGTCGTGACTGTAAAATACGCGCGAGGACGCCAATCTCTCCTTTGTCGACGCCGCAAATGTTATTTTCAGCACGCATTTAATGAATTCGCTCTATATTTTAACGCCCGCGAGGAACGCTGCGAGTCGTTCGCGGATCGAACGGCTTTGTTATCGCCGCGCGTAACATCTCTATAATGCGCGAGAAAATCATAGGGAACCGTTTAAAATCGTATGCGCCGGGGGCGGCCCAATTTTGTATCTCGAGAGCTTTTCCACGGCGATGGTCCGCGTCAGAACTTAGCCTTTTCCGCGCGCAAAAGGATCAAAGGATCAAACGCATTACAAGGGTCGCTGTCAAGCATTAACTCGACCATTATCCAGGGCTAACCCGATCACTTACACTCGTCCATTGTCCGTATTAAAGTCTCATTATTGCCACGCGAAAATAAAAATGTAAAGTACCAGGACGCGTACGGTCGCTTAAAAAAAAAAGAAATTGGACAAATCATCCCGGGGGGGGGGGGGGGGACGCATTTCCGAAGCTTATTTCTGGAAGCTCTAAATTCCGAGTTATTTTATCACCGTAGAATCATCATATTTCCCCGGCCGTACGGACCCCCGCGCGCGTTTATTTTCATGCGAGTAGATTATTACAAATGAAATCATACGCTTAAGCTGGAAATTTAATTATGTTGTGGAAAGCAATTTTAGAATATAACTCGTGCGTACGCATCCGCACTGTAATATACGTATAGCGCTTTAATTGCGGCCTGTTACATGTGACGTTTGCAATCGCCTTGTTACGGATTTAGTTAGTTTCGAATTTTAATCACTCGGAGTTGTGCACCGTCCCTATATTGCCACCAGGACGCTCGCCACACCGGCATCTGGGTCCCGAGCGGCGGGACCGGCTGTTGCATGGTTTCCTCGAACGCACGGAACTTGCCCGCAGTCGGGTCCCGGTTTAATTTCGTCAACTCGTCGTTCGGCCCGGCCGATTAAATGAAAAAATACGGTAAAATCGTCGCCCCGTCGACGCGTATATTACTGCAATCCCCGACCGTTCGCGCCATCCGTTCGCGCGCAGACGAAAGTCTTCGTCGTGGCGCTTCATTTTCCGACTACGTAGACAAGTGATAAATCCCCGTGTTTCTCCGACTTGGGAGATTACGACGTCCCGGTAATTCTCTACGGAGTTAATGAACTTCTTACGGAGATAACGTCATATTTTATTATACGCTTTCGCCTCATCTTCTTGCGATATTGATTGCGATAAATATTTGGGACAGCTATATCTGTGGTTGTCATAGCCACATTGGTATGACAAGTGGAGACAACTGTATGCGTTTTGTGCAGCAAACTTGGTGAACGTTGCAACGCAAAACAATGTAGATACCCCTACTATTTACACAGCAACATTTTCATTTTGGCGGTTTTTGCCTTAGCCGGTCTTTCCTTGTAGCGATGTCTGACCTTCACCGCCTCTCGCTACTGCCGATCATGGAGCGGCCGAAGAAAATGTGCGCCCACATAGGATCTGCATTATTCAGCGTGTTACAAACATCGAGAAATTGTTACGATAATGTGCATATCTATATTCTGAATATGGTGTTTGTATGGATTTAACGTGCCCTCCCTCGAAATGTTTTAAATTCACGTTCCGAGAATGATAGCGATAAATAATATAGCAGCGACTCGCCGCGCCGCGACAACTTCACGAGACAACTCTGTTACATTCGTGCGTATCTGTCCTCCGAGGAAACGTGTAGTCTCCTTTTTCGTGGCTCATTAATTTTGTGCCACATGACGACGCGTGGCTCGCCTCTCGCTCTTGAATAATATCGCGTATTCTTCCCCTACCGACGATCGTCCTGGCGCAACGGTTACAAAAGAAACCCGACGACTTTCAACTGTAAAGAATATTATTGGCGATCTGTCGATCGCGGGCGAGCGTATCCTGATTACGTTCCGCCCGGGCCCGACGTCGAGGAAATTGAACATTTTTCCGACACGGTCGTTACGTCGTCGCGCTGGAATTATACATGCACGCTTGCATTTGTATGCATACGCATTTCGGTCCGAGACCGATTTTTGTCGCGCACGAATAACCGCGAAATATATTTATTTCATTATTTCCGAAAACTACAATGCTCTTAAAGAAATCACCATTGTGTCCCAGACACATGTCCCAGACGAAAGTTGCAAACTCTTTAGACGGTACGTTGATAAAGAAAAAAAAACAAGAAAGTCTCAATTAATAGAATTTTCTCTTAAAATTTATCCTGAAAATCACGTAATCGTGAGACGAGATGGTATTTTGAAGGACTTTATGAGAGCTTTTTGAAACTTTACCGCACACTTTACTAGCAGACAAGAAAATTCTCTCCGTGTAATTTTCAAAGTCAATACTTATTATTAAGATTTGAATAGTTTCGCGTTATCTCTGCCGCAAACGTTCTATGTGATTTCCTCCCATTTCAACGTGACTCGTGTACGCACATGTAGCAAAGGTCTACGTTTATCGATTGAACTTACAAAGCACTTGCTCATAGCAAACATATGACGCATTGTTTAATAAACAGAGTAGCATGCAGTTTCCGAAATTGTTCAGCCCCGTATCTGACGTGCCGAGGTGCCGATAGATTTTCCCCCGCATACATTTCCAATAGCGCTTGTTTATCTTAGAAAGCATGCCTTTAGTAGAACTAATCTACGTTAATGGGTTTGCTCAACGCACTCATAGCTGACCTAACGAATCGTATCTCAGCCATCGCTGTCAATAAACGTTACTTCCCGAAAATACGTTTGTTAAGGCTTTCCTGTCTTTTTATTTTAACAAGCGCTGGTTTAATGACATGCCCTAAACGTCTGCGATTCTTAGGAGGCATAAGAGTGTGATATTTGTATAATAATTAATAATGAACATTTTTTTAGTAATTTAATAATTGCATAATAACATAATATTATGTGTGCCTCTGAATAAACCATTTTTAACACTTCTAAAATTATTTTTTACATCAACAGATGTGGAAAATGAAGCGGTATACGAATTTACAATTTAATAAAATTTGCAAGGAACGGCTGTCTACATCCTGCCTTAGGCTCGCACTGGCCATTTTCTTATTTGTTGCTTAAGATTATTTTCGTTGCAACGTTCAGTCTTTGAGATGCTTATTGACGATCTGAACACCGGCGGTTTTAAACCCCCTCCCCCCCCCCCCCCGTGCTACACAATCGTGTAGCAAGTACGATGTTATTTCAGCGTGGGGTATTGTACACGTTATTCGTATCCATTCCACGCGGAGGCTTTCATCGGTCGCACGATTCGCGCTCGCTCTCCTCGAAATCACTCGACAGAATCTGCGACCTTCCCCGTGTGTGTGCGCGCGCGCGCCTCTCAGGGTCAAATCCACCGGGGAAATCACGATAGGAACGAAATAGCGGCGCGTTAAGTAACTGAGAGAATTTTCCGTAAGAGCGTCAAGTCGCGTTTAGCTCCTCTATCGCCCGTTCCACCCCTCTCGCCCTTTTTCGCCCCGATAGGATTATGCAGCTCGCCCGCGAGCACATTCTGCCGCCCCGCCCTCCCCTTTTCGCCGTGTGAAAATCGTGTTTCGCTCGAAAAACGCAAAGGTAAAATTTATCACCTCGATAAATTATTGCATTAAGATGCATTGTTGCGTACACACACACACACGCACACACAACTGTGTTGCACTTCAAATATCCTAGAGACACAGAGGGATGAAGGCGGAGGGATATAAGCTCTATGCTCGCGTTTTATTCACACGTACGTTCGAACGGATATAAATGTGTTTAAATTCCCAGCGAAGCGCGGGGCGCATCTTCTCCTCGTTTTCCCCATTTTGTTCTCCTTTTTGCGCGCGGGGCAGCTGCATCTAACGCGCGATAGTACACGAAGGGGTTAAGAGATGGGTTAACTCTGTTACGGAAGAGCCAAACACAATTAACAAAGATAGCAATTAAGTTGTAACAGGGGGGGTAATTGTGACGGCGAAGCATGTTTCAGTCGAGTTCAATTGTTTGCGATATGAGATCTTGAACCAGATTCGCAACAGTACAGCGTGTAATGACGGATTTGTTTAGAATTGTTATAAGTCCAGCTTCAATATCGGTCTCGGAAAAGAAAAACTAGGATCTTATCGATCGGCGTCCTCTCTCTTTCTTCCGAGCTTTCATTATCCGTCCGACCAAACTGGAAAGGAGGCGAATTTAATTACTCGTCCGTTCTTCATTATTTATTAACGATTCTTTGAAACCCTCGCCTGTCATCGCCGGATATCTTCGTTGCCTCAAGTCGCCGGAAGACAATTAAATTAATCAGAGGAAGCGAGGGAATGGTCTGTGCGTGATCCCTGATGATTTAACAAATTTAGAAGCGTTGAATTATTTCTCGCGCGTTTCATCGATTAACTTTGTGCCTGAACTGATTACACGGTCTAATTAAGTATTGTAAATCCAACTGAATAATATATTTTGCGGCATTTAAAAGTGCACGGGGAAAACTGACCGGAAAGGTTTATAGAGTTTCAACGCGTCGCGGAGAACATTTCAGGAAGTGCATTTTCCTCGAAAATTCTAAAAAAGCATCGAATAAAATAAATATACAGCGAGAGGGAGAGACTACGGAGTCCTGGGGGAAGCTAAGTACTGTTTTAAAATATCACCGGCGAAAAGACGTCCTCGGGAAAGTTAAATCTAGGATCCGTTCGGTGATACAAATATCGCAGGCTCCATTATTTGACACGGGCTTGGACGATTTACGACAGCTGTCTATATTCTCGCTGTCGAAAACGCAGATTTTCTTCGACGCGTATGATCCACTCGCGATTTATGTCACTCACCTTCAAGCTACGTCTATGCGGTTGATTAATCAACCTCGGGAATTAACCAGACCATCTCGTTCGGTGTAGAATAATTAATTGTGCTCGATACTCGCTAGCCGCAAATGAGCAGGAGCGTTCCGACGCACCATTAATAATTAATTGGTTATAGTAGTCGAAACCAAGAGAGAGAGGGAGAGAGAGTGAGTGAGCGAGAGAGTATCGAGCGGTATCTTTCGACGAAACGTGTGAAAATTAATGTCAAACAATTCGGACACAATAGCAATTATCATTCGTTCAGCACAATTCAATATTATATACGAGACCATCGCTAATTGCTAGTCATCGTTTTCCGTCGTAACGTGCCATCACGATTAATTGTTAAAGTTACTATTATCGAACTCCTATATCGCGACGTGCAATCACATTAGATTAATGTGAAATCATTAATGACGCAGACGTCAACATTTATTGGCTGGGTTTAGTCGGTGGCAAAAATCGAGGAACTAGTTCAGCACGTCTGATAATTAAATCCTAGGATAGAATCTGCTTAAACTCGCATGTACAGTCTTATTCACTAATGCCTGGACCTGCACTTTTATCACGGTTGGGAAAGTTACTTTATATAAAAGTATCTAGTTACAGTTACAGTTTCTTTCGCTAAAAATGTAGCTGGTTACAGTTACTCAAAAAGTAACGAATCGTTACTTTGCAGTTACTTTCTTGCGATGAAAATAAAAATGTCAAATCTGCACTTGAATTGTAAAGTGACGATAAAGGCGTTTGTGCGCAAATGCAAGGCCTAATGCGATCTGTGGAGATTTAAAATATACATATATAAAGTAACTATTAATGTAGCTGATTAAATCATCTACTAGTTATCGAAAAAGAGAATGCTAAAGTCATCTGTTTTACCGACACATTCGAATATAGTTTTTGCGCTGCTGAATCTTTTCATTAGTTTTTACGCCTAAAATAATACCAGGATAAGTTGCGGACCGCATAGCATAACGTTTTTATACTTGAAACACTCGGGTCGGAAATCTAATGAGAAAGATATTGGTATTTGAAATTTTTAATTTTTTAATCGTGAGCAATTTGAATTTGGCTTTATAAAATTACAAAATTCTTCCACGCGATTACAGTACGCGTAAAAACAAAGCGGGGGGTTCACGACTTTATATAAAAAACGAAGAGAAATTAAAAATATCGCTTTATAAGTAATTGTGGTTAGGCTTCACATGCTGATATTTTTAATTTCTCTTCGTTTTTTATATAAAATCGTGAACCCCCCCGCTTTGTTTTTACGCGTACTGTAATC